ATTCAGTATATTAATAACAAATTTGTTATGAACTTAATGCTCTAACTCTTTCGAAACACAGAAAACTTTCTTTAAGGCTATGAACTGTGCTTCTAAATTTTACCATATTATCACTATGCTCTAAATTACCGTTGAAAGATGAAATGAGACCAAAGAGAGCCCTACAAACATCATGCATTGTAAGGTCCAATATTTGAAGCCGACTTTGTTTGCAATCTATGGTATCAAATCATAGTAAAGTGAGAGCAAGTTGAAATGGAGCTATGATGGCCAATCCTTTCTGTCGCCAACCCCAAGTTAAGGATTATTGATCAAAATAAGGGTTATATGAACCGATATTAAAGCTTAGTGAATAAATTTTAAGATTTTTTGAACCAGTTTTAGGGTTTTTTGAATTGATCTTAGAGTTTGGTGAACCATTTTATGGTTTGGTGAACTCGTTTTGGGGTTTTTTAAATTGGTTTGAGCTTTTTAAACCAATTTTAAGGTCAATGAATCAATTTTAGGGTTAATTAGTTGGTTTAGGATTTGATGAACCAATTTAGGATTTGGTGGATTAGTTTCAGGTTTTTTGAAACCAATTTCAGAGTTTTGAACTGGTTTTAGGATTTCTTGAATCAATTTAGGATTTAGTGAAACAATGTTAGGACTTTTTGAGCTGATTTTTAGGATTTCTTGAACCTAGTTTAGGATTTAGGGAACCAGTTTTAAGGTTTGATGAATTAGTTTTAAGGTTTGGTGAATTGCTTTTAGAGTTTCTTAAATTAGTTTAAGATTTAGTAAACCAATTTAAGGTTTGATGAACTGTTTGAGGATTTGATGAATTGATTTTAGGATTGGGTGAATTGGTTTTAGGTAGGGGGCTTTTGGTGAACCTTGCTATTAAACTTGATTTAAGGTTTTTGCTAAAACCCTAAAATTTGCAAGTCCATGTCTAGTAGAATTTTGATAATAATTCAATTTTTGTGTTTGCGATCAAAGAAAATTGAAGTTATTTATCATGTGTCATTTACTAATTGGACTCTTTTTTTTAAAAAAAAAAAAGATATATGAATTCAAAAAATATTGTGTGTGTTTGTATATACATATATAATTAATTAAATTTTTTACACAATAAATGCAAGTATTCTATATTTTATTTTTTTAATAAATTAGTATTAACATATGGTATGAAATAAAAGTTTTTTTTGCAAATAACTCAATTTTTTTATGCGTCCATAAATGATAGGGAGAGGAAATTTCATAAAACGTTATCATAACATAAAATCAATTTCATTTGAAAAGCTTTTCATATTCCACTAAATGCTGAATTTAACTAAAATGGTAGGGAGAAAAAGCTATAAAACCTTATTATATTAATTTCAGTCTTTTCATATTCTATTCATACATATAGTGTTAGGTTTCTACAAAATAAATAAAAGTATTAAATATTTTATTTCTTTTTTTTAAAAAAAGTTAATATGAATATTTGTTTGAAATAAAAAAAAATTGTGAATAGCTCATTAACCTTTTGGTGTTCATAAATGATTAAGAGTGGAAAATTCATAAAAGGCTATGATAATGTAAATCAATTTCATTTGAAAATTTTTTCACATTCTACTAAATTTTGAATTTTTTTCAAATAATAAAAAAAAAGATAAGTCATCTATATCTAACATGTACTCAAGCATTTAACTCATTGGTTGGTGCATAATTTTCTTACTTAAAGAGTATGGTTTGAATTTTTCTTTTTTCAATATAAAAAACAAAAGTCATCTATATCTAACATTATAAATGTAATTATTAAATATTTTATTATTTTAATATATTAGTAATAATATTTGGTTTGAAATAATAGGTCATTAATTTTTCTTTTTATATTTTCTTGAAATTTTTTTCACTCTTTTATTTTAAATTTTCATCCTAATTAGATAGTATGAGTAGATTGTTTTTAATTTTAAGAGAAACTCTTTTGAATTTAGAAACCTCTTATATATATATATATATATATTATTTATATATTATTAAGAAAATAAAAAGTAACCGTATAAAAGACGAGCGAAAGAAAACCTAATATATTAAAATAGTGTTAATGGTGGGCAGTTATGAAGTATAATAATTAGTTTGACATGATATTAAATTCAAGTTATGATGAAAATAAAATTAACCGGGCAACCAATTTCCATCCTTTTTATTTGGCTTTTTTTTTTTTGTTAAAACGAAGAAAGCTTTGCAACAAAAAAACAAACAAACTTCCTTTAAACCACACATCTTTTTACCATTTTCACCAACCATATTTAATTTTATATATATATATAACTAGAAAGTGTCATGCAAAGACAATTATATGCAAACCAATCCAACAAAACAAAGGAATATTAACATAGAAGCAATATACCTTACGAGATTAGCTGACCCACATAAGTTTCCCTCAATACTTTTTAATGAATGTCAAGGATAAAACCATATAGATGCATATGCATCAGCAACTCAATTATAGATAAACAAACAGAAAGTTAACTAAAGAAGGATCCAAAAGGGTTAAATCCACCAACTTTTGCTGACAAAATCTTTAAAGATTCAACCATGTAATGTAAGAGGTTACCTAATTAAGATTCAGTGAATGAGATCCTTAAAACAACCAATAATACAATCCACCAGCTGCTCATAATTAACGACTTTTTTGGGGTCCCATTGAAGTGTTTTATTGTCAAAGATTAGCTCTAATACCTTACCAAAGATAAGGAAGATTAGAATGTCAAAGGTTTGGAAAAACAAATCCCCACGAGCTCCAATTTTATGTTGTATGAAGAATTAATTAAAAAAAAAAAACCCAACTCCTCCCCAAGCAAGGCATCCAAGGGTACATGAAAATAGATGAAAAAAATAATGCATGGCTTTGACGAAATATGGATATAGACTTTATAAACTAGAAAACTCCATGTGCATGTGGAGCACATTGTCAGCGGGTACCAACAACAACAACAACCGATCGAACCTTTGGCCTAAATAGCCTTTTTGTTTTGAAATTAGGATATGTCAACGTTTTTGGACATCAATCTTCAATAATTTCAAGATATAGGCCAACAGCTGCATCACGAGTTTGAACCCTTCGAAAACTTTCCCAATTGGTCGGATCTTAGCACTGTTTCTTATCTTGTTTTTTCTTATTTGTTTTTATCAAAAAAAAAAATAGGGCAAATTAATGGTGTGATGAACAAGGATCACCTGATCCCATGTGATTTTGGTCAATGAGTTTTTTGAAGACCAAATAACTGCTATATGTTTATTAGTATATTTTTTTTGTGCCGCTTTAATTTCAAGGAAAAGTAAGAAACATAGAATAATTAATTCCAGTACTTATTCATTTGTCAGAAGTTAGCTGATACACCAAGGTTGCATAAGAGAATGAAGAAGTCTCCTTTCAGAGATAGGAGGCGGGGATTTAAACATAATTATCTTCCCTACACGTTGCTTAAGTATTCAGCTTTCACACGTATATTTTTTTTCTAAAGGATAGAAAAAAAGAGGTGAATAGGTGGATTTTATCAGCATGAGTTCCAATAAACAATTTTCAATGATAAATTAGCATGAAATCCTTGATGTTTTGAATAAATGGCCCACCAAGAAATTGGAAGATTTTGAGTTACATAATAGAAGTTCTTCCGTGTCCTACCTCATCATGAGCTTGAGTATCAAAGTTCTAATTGTTGTTGAGTATGGTATGTTGGTATTATTACGGAGTTAGAATGTGGGCAAAACATTTTGGACTGGACAACTACTCTGATCAAGGTAGGGGTTGAACTGGGGTCAGATTGCAAGACCCAACCCGACAACTCCTAGTTCTGTTTAAGATGGCATTAGCCCAGACCTGCATTTCTCTGAGCCCAAGCTCTTTCTTTCCTTCTTTTTCTTAGTAGCCCAACTCCTGGTTTTTTCTTTTGTTCATGAACCTGGATCATCAAATGCAGTTATGGGCATTTCATGAATGCCTTGACGAATGGAGCTTGGCAAGTCATTAAACCAATGGACTTTAGCCCACTTTGTAAGATTTGAACCCAAGGCCTATGAAATCTTTTTAAAGATCAGAACATTTTAGTGGGCTCTCAAGCATTGACACCTATCTTTCATGGCCCACAATCAAAGTTTGAAGCTTAAAAAGGGTTTGGGCTATAGGCGGAAGATATATAAACAGTCCAATTGTATAATTAAGTATTTTTTTTATATTCATAAAAAAGAAGAGTATTTGCAAGGTTAATTTAAACAAAATAATGTTTTTTTAATGGAGTATAATGAATAATATTGATAGTGAAATGGGTATTAATTAATTCATTTATTACTAATTTATAAGGCATGTTGAGAAAGGATTTCTAATTAAATGAGGAAATATTCCACAAAGATTAGATCATAAAGATCCAAAAATTCATTAAAAGTTGTTTATATTTTTTATACCATGATTTTCATTTCTAGAACTACAGTAATCTTTTAAAAAACAATAGCATCTGTTATCTTTACCAAGAAAAGGAAACAAGTGATTATTAGAGTTAATTAATTTGGAATTAAGCTATGATTCCTCTTAATGAGGTAAGATGGCCCCCATGTATAGTCAAGAAGGTATGAAGATACCATTTTGTGGAGGTGTATAGGTTTTGCTATCGTCCTCAAAATGACCTTGACAACCTACTTAGATATGCTTTAATCTTCCCATGTCTAAACCATACAATGAAAATGACACCCTTTTATATCATATCCTTATATTATAATCATGAAAACATTAAGCACGTTGATAAACCATGATTATAACATTAATCCCATTAATGTTTTCAATATGAAACCTATTGGTTTATTCCTCTTTAAAAGCAATGATCAAATGACAGGATCGACCACAGCTTGAATCATTAAAATTGGCAACACAATTTGAGGTGAAGTGCGGACCTTGTCGATGCCTGGGCAAGTCATTAAATTAATTTATTCCTACAATCACAACCACATATTCCTGGACCCTAGAGGCTAGAGAAAAGTCATGGAAGTCAATATTTAATTATATCGGTATGCACTGCTGAGCAGGAACAGTGACAACTCAGGACCCATACAATCATTAATAATAAAAAAGAGGAGAAAAAAAACAACAGTATTCAGTTGACCTTTGTAAAAAATTGTAACCCATTATACATTGATAGCTGCAACTATCACATTTTAGTCGACATGAACTTTGATTTTTTCTCTGCTGATTTGAGAATCTCGGAAGAACACATCAGTTTTTCATCGACTGCTAAAGAAAACATGAGAAGCAGAACAGACCCCAAGGAGCAGCAACAAACCAAAAACAGAAAGAGTTTCAAACAATGCTACCTTTAAGAGCAGCAATCATCCGATCATCACACTTCTGTCCCAAAATCAAAGTCACAACAGACAATGCCCAAATCGAAGGGAGAGAAATTCCTGTGAAAAGACGAAGCAAAACATAGATCACAAACCCAAAAAAACTATGAAATTCTAGCCGCAGTTAGCCAAACAAAAAACCAAAAAATTGAAGTAAAATGAGAACCCAAAAACAAAAGGAAAAAGTTCCAGCCGAGAGATTGGAGGGTTCACAGTCGAGGAGGCTGGGCTTCGGCTTTTCTTCTGGAGTTGTTGGCTTCGGCTTTTGCTATCTTTTAGACCTTCTTTACACCTCGGTTCAAAAAGAAAGGAAAGATGAAAGGAGGCCGTATAAAATTTAAATATAAGTAAATTTTAATATATTTATATTATACTTATTATGTAATGAATAATTAATAATAATAATAATAATATTTTTAGATATTCATAACATATTAGATATTAATATACAATGTAACATATTTATTATTATTAAATTATTAACAAAATTGATATTATTTTATTATTTATTTATAATATAATATTTATTAATTATTAACTAAATTTATCATTTTATAAAATATTAATTACTTTTTTATAATAAGCATAAATAATTTTTTTTCAAAAGTATGTAATTTTATTACTTGATACCAAAGTCAAAATAATATAATTTTATATGATTTTCTAAATTACATATAAAAATAATATTTATATGTATGACTTTATTATTACATATATGTTATGAAAAGTAATATGTTATAAAAAATAAGATAATAATTACTATTAACATTATTAAAATATAATCATATAAATAAAGTTAATAAAGTTACAAATAAAGGTTATAATTACTAATAAACTATTATTACTTTTTGTTTAATATATTATTGAATTTTATCACCTATTTGTATAAAAGACAACATATTTATATTTTTAATATTATAAATTTCAGTATGTATATATTTAATTTTATTAATATATTTGCTATAAAAGATTAATAAAATTTTAAAAATTTATTAATATATTTTAAATAAAAAATTTTAAAAATAGTAATACTGATGAAATTTTTCAACAAAAAATTTCGTTGGAAAATCTACTAGACTTTAAATTTTTTTTCACGTTCTTACTTTTCAACGGATTTTCAATGAAAATCCGTCGAAAATTTCGTTGGAACGTTTGGGGGTAATATTTTTTTTGTGTCATAAAATTTTTCAACGGATTTTCAACAGAATTTATCCGTTGGAATTATTCCGTTGGAAATCCATTGTAAAAAGTCACATGAAAATTCCATCGAAATTTTGTTAGAAATCCATTAGAAATTTTCAACAAAAAAATTCCGTTAGAAATTTTTCTTTATAAAAAACTGAATTTTTTTGTAGTGAAAGGAATAATAGATTAGTAGATATTCATTTCAAACTGAAATTGACTATTTACATTTTGTTTTTTATCCAACAGATTCAAAGCCTAGTTAAAAGGTTTGTATTTTAAAAATATTAAATTATCTTAATAGGCAAAAAAAAAATCATATGCATTATTAAGTGAATAAAGAGCTAAATACTTTAAACATGGGTTTTATAGGATCATAAATTAACAAAATGATATAATAATTTTTTTTTATAATTGAAGAAAAAGATATTCGAATTTTGCTTTTTAAGTAAGAGATTATATACTAACCAACAAGTTAAATACTCATATATATACAATAAATTTTTAAATGGGTAAGATAATAAATTTGAGTAGGGCCTTAATCATTGGGACAACCAATTACTTAGGTTTTGTTTGTTTCACAAAAATGAGCTTTTAGAAATCTATTTTCCAGGTTTTGTTGATGATTCAAAGTTAAAAATTTGGCTAAAATACTTCAATTTCTCTAAATTTTAATTGAAATTTGAACTATATTTATTAATTTTTGAAATAAACACTCCATTCCAAAAATATAAACACCATTAACAAATAATATGAAAAAACTAATTTTTTTTCTTTATTAATTTAAAAAATTATTTTTTATAATTTTTAAAAAAAATAATAAGGAGCACCAATCAGTGCTCCCAAAGAGCTTCTTAAAATTAATAATAATTTATATAATAATAATTTTTAAAATTAATAAAAAATAAAATTATTCTTTCAATATTAGCATGTCATCAAATTAATGGACACACTACCTGTTGATCAACAATTAGACTTATGTGTCTAATAGAAGATTTTTTTTGAGATGAAATATCTATTTTAAAAATTAATGAATTCATTTAAAATTAAAATTTAAAAGAGTAAAAATATTGTACCCTAATAATTTTAAAAGTTAACCAAAATGTGTCGAAAATCAACGAATAAAAGGATCAAAAAATGGAAATTGTCTTCCAATTTCTAGAAAAACTCACTACTTCAAATTAGTCCTATCCACAGGCCGTGGGCCTAGTCTGACCCAGTGCATGAATTGGGCAAAATTTAGGTTTCGATCCGCCGTGCTCTTATTCGATATATTATTATATTAATAAAAAAATTATTTAATTGTAATCATAATATATATTTAAATCTGAAACTAATAAAATAAAAAATTAAATACTTTTATAATATATTTAATTTAAATAGGCAAGTTGAATTTAGGTTTTAAAATTATCAATTGGTCTGACTCTGCTGGAGATATTATTTTATTAATAAATATTTACTTCATTTAATTTTAATATATCAAAATATTAATATAAAATATATTTTAATAGTTCAATAATAAATAAATGTAACTAGACAAGCCTGACGAGCCCAGCCTAAACCCCAAACTTATATTTTAAAGATGTCCACTAAGCTTAACTTGGCCCAGCCCGACCCATGGACATTTCCAGTTGAGATTATACATGGATAATTCAAGGATGATCTTTAAAGTTTAATCAAGATTTTTGCACTATTGATATCAAGTTTAATTAATTATAAAATTAATTCTTTTAAAAAAACTTTTGGGTAAAATCATCCAAAGAACAAAAAATAATTTTTACAATATCATCCAAATAATAAAAAATATCAAATTTTCGATAAAAAATGCTTTCCAGGAATCATATATTTTAGAAGCTCATTTTTTGTGAAAGAAGGGAAACTTAATCTAGACTTTGTTTTATGGCCCAAACGTCTTGTTAAGCTTCAAGATCAAACAGACCTCCGGGCCGTGGAGGCTCCAATCCAAACTAGACCGGTCCAGTTAATCCCTGATGTTATGTGAGATTTGACCCAAGACTGAGCAGCTGATTGAACTCGATGTGAATTTGTTTTTTGCCTGTTGTCATCAGTTATTCCTTTAGGGGATAAAATGAAGTTTATGCTTTATCTGTTAGACCGTTACGTGTGCAAGGTAAAAATGGAAGGCTTTGCGAGTGTATGGCAACTGCTGGAACTTTGTGTTGCTTCAAGATGACTGGGTAATCATCCTTACTTGTTGGCCGCTAACCTGCATTAATTTGTATATCTTTGTTATTTTTTATTTTAATTAGTATTATTTGAGTCAGAAAATATTATTATTATTATTAGAAAGTTTAATGGTGTTTTTACCATTGAAATTAAGGGTGACCAATCACCCACGAACATCCTTGGATTCACAGATTTGGATTGATTTTAGGGTGGTATCTTTATTTTATGGATGGTACATCATCCAATATCTTTAAGATTGAAATTACCTCTCTTAGGTTGAAGAACCAAGTTGTGAATCAATTTCTAAATTAATAATCATTTGAAATTATATAAAAAAATAAGTTAATTAGTTGTCAAATTGTAAGATTTTGAAGCCATAAAAAGGATTTTTTTTAAGATCTTTACCATTGAAGTAAAGCATTACTTACTTAAAATTTTAAATATCTTATACAAATAATAAAGAGGAAATTGTGAAAAATGATTATATTCATGAAACTATTTCAAAAATAACCTTGAATATAAAATTAAGTATTTTTATCTAATTTTTATCATAACTTGACAAAATTGTCTTTAAAACACTTTTCAGACAAATTAAATTCTCTTGATTTTTTTCTTACACCATTTGAAAAACTGTCCATCCAACTCTCTTTGCTCTTCAAGTCTATCATGTCCTTTAAACTATTCAGAATGATGCTTTTGATTTGCTCATAGTTCTTTTCAAAAATTTTAATAATAAAAACAATTTAAATAGAGGAAAGAAAAAAAATAGTTCAAGGTTTTTCCATTCATCTTGAAATAAATAGGAGGTTTCAATATTTTCAAATTCAGTGCAAAATTAAAATAAAGAAAAAGTGAAAAAGAAAAGAAAAAAGAAGAAGGTGAAAAATAACCATAGGAAAGCAAATGGTTTTTGCGTTTTGGTTGTAGAGGAAAGGAAAGGAATGATTTAAGATTTTTTATTCATCTTTAAATAAACAAATAAGTTTCAATTTTTTTTTCAAATTCGGTGCAAAATTGAAATAACGAGAAAATGTGAATAAAAAAAGGGGAAAAAAGAAGAAAGTGAAAAAGAACTGTCGGGAAAAAAACGATTTTTGCATTTTGGTTCCTTCCATCTATCTTTGATTTGGTGAAATCTCATAAAAAATTTTAAAAAAAGTTCTTACCGAATGATTTTGTTGATAAATTACAAAAATTTATGTCACTTACTAATGATTTCGTAAAGAAAATACTCAATAGCTTTGTTGGAAAGATGTTTTTTACTATCTATAAAGGCTTTCGGAGATGATTATAATATTTTTCAAGATGATGTTTAATATTTTTTTTTAACATGATATATAATAATTTTTTTTTATCATAATACATAATAACTTTTTAAATATAGTGTATAATAACAAAATTTTTTAACATGGCATGTAATAACTTTTTTTTTCAACATAACATATAACAAATTTTTTCTGACATGACATATAACAGTATTTTTTTCACGTGAACTTGAGTATGAAAAGATTTTATGAAAGGTAATTTTATTCAAAATTTTTTTCTTTTAGCTAAAAAAATTAAAATTAAAAAGAGAGTTATTTTCAAAAATTTCTTATCTGTGAAGGCTAAAAAATATTTGTCCCAATAATAAATGAATAAATTTTTTTAAAAAAGCTACCAACAACACTAAACAAAACGAAAAAGTCTTTAAAAGTAACCAAACTTAAAAATAAATGAAAAAAAAACTTTTAATATAAATTGTTACGTGGATGTATAAATTTATTGGATAAAATATTCGAACATCTCTAATTTTTAACCATAATTACATGTATATTCATTAGATTTTAAAAAGAACACTCTACCTTAAACGTGTAAACAACATTAATACTTAGACGTGAAATATCTAAAATATCATTTTTTTTCTTTTTGCACTCTTTCTCTTTCTC